CATTTGATCTACTTTCTTCTTTTAGAAGAAAATGCCTCTTGTCTCTACTTCATGGCTAAATTTTATTCCAATCCTTCCCTTCTCTGCCAGGAACCTATCTGACTTATTCTGTGTTATTTGCTTTTTGCCCTACATTTTCAGCTTTCTCCTTTTTATAATATTTAAGAATTCTAAGGGCTTCCCATCTTAACATATATTGACACCAAAACATTTTGTTCTCAAACATATGTCCCTGTGGTGGCCATTTCATATCTTTTCTTCCCCTAAACCACGTATCTTGAGAAGAGAGTCTATATTTATTATCTCCAAACACTTTATTCCTTCAAATGAGTGAAATTTTGCTTTTGTCTCCATCTTTCCATTATATTTTCTAGCAACAATTTCCCAATTACAAAAGCTAAAGGATATCTTTTATTCCTTGTCTTAAATTTATGAGATAATGGAAATAAATTTTCATAGCACTGCAATTGGAATTACTCCATTATTTGTGTAATTATTTCATCATTTGGTTAATTTTATTTCCCAGAATATAGCCTTCACAATCCCCAGGTTATTTGTCATATGCCTGGTGCCTGCTAGACTCTCTTCACATTATAGGCATTTGGTAAATATTTGTTGAATGAATAAGTGGATGAAGGATAAAAACAATCCTTGTCCTGAAGAGACCACGAAAGAGTTCACAGTCTAGTGAGGAATTGGCATCTTATATTAACACATGTGTGTTGGAAATTCCAACTGTAGAAAATCATATGACATCCACCCAGCCCACACACTAGAATGTGAAATGTCAATAAATTGCAATCTGTCATTCTTGACTAATGAATCTGTCTATAAATTTGAAACATTAAGTTTTAATTTTGTTATAATTACTTCATATGAAATTAAATACAATTTAAATAATGGGTCTTAAAAAAGGAGAGAGGTGAGAAAAGTATTTTATAATCACTTTAATACACAAAGTCTAAAAATCTCATTTTTTGAACATAAAGGATCTGGATTTAACCAATGTGAGGCATTTTTATAGTGTCATTAAGTCTCTGTGTACAAGAGAACTTAAAGCTCATTTAGCCCAACTATTTTTATGGTGTAAAATCCCCTCTAGAATGTTCTCCAGAAAGTTCTATGAAATCTCTGCCAGGAGACACCTGTGATAGGGAATACACTCCGTTTTACGGTATCCATTTTCTGAATTATTAAAACTCTAAATTCTACTTAGAATAATATCCTGTAGGTCCTAAGTGAAATAAGTCAGGCAGAGAAAGACAAATACCATATGGTTTCATTTACATGTGGAATCTATAAAAGCAAAACAAACAAAACAAAACAAAAACAGACTGATAGAAAAGGAGAGCAAACTGATGGTTGCCAGACGAGAGGGAGGTATGGAATGGGTGAAAAAGGTGAAGGTGAATATAGTCAATAATATTGTGATCAGTTTGTACAGTGACAGATGATTATTAACCAATTTGATGATCACATTGTAAAGTATATAAATGTCAAATTGCTATGTTATACACTTGAAACTAATACAGTATTATATGCCAACTATATTTTAAAAACCCTTTAAATTCTAGAAAACGAGTTCCTAGCAACTTGAATTGGTCCAGTTTAACTATTATGTTTAAGAAGGGCTGCTTTTAGCCTACTGAGTTGGAGCTCTATTTTTTTGGAAAGGAGGACGTGAAAGGGTGTGTTATGATGGTCCGGGCAGATGGAGGTCAGCTGAAGGAGGAATGGCAAACCTATAGTCAGTAGTGATATTAAAAATTTCCTGTAACTGAATAAGAAGTGTTAAATGTTTTATTGATTAATTTGTATAACAAATGCTTGATGACTGTGTTAGATATTATAATGAGTATTGCAAATTATTTCAATGTTTAGACCAAATAGTGTTTCCTGAGTTGAGTCTTGAACTGTGAATGGCTAACAAAATGGGGGAAAGTATTTAAGGCATTCAACACATTTTAACAGAGCACCAGAAAATCCAAAATGGAAGAAAACAATAACAGCAACAAGAACCAAAGATTTAGGGCAGAGCCCAGCTTCTATTGCTGGCAGTTTCTGCACATATCTGGTGGCTGTGACCTTTCATTTTCCTTGCATGGGCAAGGCACAGAATAAATATTCATGAAACATGCAAGGTGGGGAGTCAGTACAGAGACTCCTCATCTCTGAGTCTCCCCCAAAGGTGAGGCCATCAAGGCAAGGTTAAACCAGGAAAATAAAAAGTCTTACTTTATAAGAAGGAAATAACAAAGAAACTTGGGTGTCTTAGCCTTGGCTCTGAGAGAAGTTTCCGCTTATAATTTATTGAATCAGAATCAATATTGGACTGGAATCTCAAAAATCCCTAAGTGAGAAATTTATTTAATGTTACTATGAGTTGAAACTTTTCTCAACTGCCTAGAGGAAAAATAAATTATTTCTTGAGGAATGGATCTTAATCCCAGCTTGCAAATAATTTCCATTCCTATGAAATATGAGTTTATAATTTTTAAATATCAGAAAGAAATTAGCCACTGGGAGTGAGAAACCTAGCCCTTCAGCTTTCTTAAAATGAAATTAGGTTTACAAAGACCATAGACATTAGAATTTTCTGATATAGAATAGAAAATAAGTATGCTTAATATGTTTAAAGTAAAAGCATAAAAATATGAATGAACTAGGGACTATAAAAGTGTTCAGGAAGATTTGGGAAATAACCAAAGGAACTTCTAGAAATAAATATATAATAATTTAAATAAGAAATTTAATAAGTTTTAAATATGAATTTAATGAAGCTGAAGATAGAAATAGTAAACTAGAGTAGGTATCTTAAGAAATTTATAAAATATGCACAAAGACATGGATAATATCAAAGACTAAGAGCTCTGGAGAGCATACTAAGACATGAATCTAACCAGAATTTTCTGTTTAAGAAACACTAGAGAATAGAGAGCAAGATAATTTTAATTTTTTAAAAATATATATTTATTGATTTCAGGGAGAGAGAAAGGGAAAGAGAGAGAAACATTGATATAAGAGAAATATTAATCAGTTGCCTTCAGCATGTGCCCTAGCTGGGGACTAAACCCACAACCTAGGTATGCACCCTGGCTGGGAATCAAACTGCCAACGTTGTGGCCTACTAGGCAATGCTCCAACCAAGTTAGCTGCATTAGCCAGGCTAGAACCAGGTAATTTTAGAAGAGACAGTGACCACTGCCTCTTGGAGGTCTGATTCCAGGTCTGGGACAAAGAAAAGGACAAGGTGGGCCCGGAACCATTATTGTGGCATAAAGGAAGGTGTGTCCAAAAACCAATAGAGACAAAGTGGCACAGGAGGTGACCAGCCAGTTTTGACATCATGAGCATCAAAAAGAATAACATTGGAAGTAGATTATAACACAGTGAGTAAAAACGAAGTCATATATCCTACATCTTCCCTCTCTAGGTGTTAGCATAGATATTTCCACAGAGTAGATATTACTTAAATAAAGAAACAAAGAAATATGCATACTGAGTATCACTGTGATTCAGGATGCAGGCTCCAAGGCTGGCCTGCCTGGGTTTGCATATTGACTCTATCTACTGGAAGCTATGTAACTTCAGGAAAGTTAACTTCTATTTTTTTGCTTCAATGTTCTTATCTGTAAAATGGAGATAAAACTGGTACCTAATTTATGGGGTGGTTATGAGACTAAAATATGATAATCTATATATAACAATTAGCACACTTGTGACAAATATTTTTGAATGTTTCCATTTTTAAGGCTCCGATTTACAAATTCTTTCTCTAATTCACCTTATTGTATTTCTCAGCCTATCATGTGTCTTTACATAAAGTGTGTCTTTTGAGCTCTGTAGTTACCCTCCAAAGTAAGCAAGGCCGAAATCACCTTCTTCCTCTAAGGAGGTACTGGAGGCCCCCTGAGCCCTGGGGGCAATGGAACAGAGGGGTGGAGGGTGGCCCTACAGTCCCAAGCACGCAGCTCCGTTCCCTGGCTCTGCCCTTTTTGACTTACAGTATCTTGGGTGATCTGCTTTCCTCGTGTTTAAAACAAGAGTTATCACAGTACTACACCAAACAAGCAAACAAAGAGCAATGAGGCATAAGTGCAACATGGTTCATAGGGAATGCTAACTAATACCCCTGGTATTTTATAGAGTCAACAAAAATTAACGTTCTGTTCGTTTCTCCAAAATTTCAATATTTCATGTTGTATGTTTTCAATGTAATTTACATAATGCAGTCGATTGTGCTTTTTGTCTATTTGGCATTGAGACACCACTAGTTGGTAAACAATTCTAAAACAGAGGGCTTTGTTCTATTTTTAATACATCTTTGATAGATCTGAGCTAGTAGCTAGAAGGTACTTGACATATGACAATATTTAGTTGTAATGTTTCAAACTATATGTTGGTCCCATTGCCTGTACAAATTAAAAAGTAATAGATATTTTTAAAATATTTATGTAATTTTCCCTTTGGACTCTAAGAGCTAGTTTATTTTATTTTATTTTTTTAAGCAGAAACTTTGCCTTTTCTGAGCTTGGTCTTCTGATCAAATGGGTGAGATTGTTTTGGAGTACTCAGTGTCCCTATTTATATTAACTAATGATTGCTAAATTATTTTAAAATAGCAGGCTTGCCTGTAAAAACTAAGCCTTATGATGATCATAATGATAATAATGCTGATATGTGTAAATGAGGCCATTTGTATCCATTGGGATGTGCTGTTGCAGACATTTCACGGGGAGCTCTCTCCTTCCTGATATATGTAGTTCATTTACTCTATACTTTCAGTGCTAAATTTTAGTAATTGCAAAACATCTGAGGAGCATGGGGTGAAAAAAATACACTCAAATGTGTTTTTAGAGTACCTCTGTGTTAGTAATTTTTTTGAAAAATATTGTAGTACCTATTATTAAAAAATCTGTGATTTGCAATTTAATTTGAAAAATGCACTTATAACTTGAAAACTAATAGTATACAATTAAAGCTTTTTTTTTAAATTCCAGAACAAGTTACACTGTGTAAAATAGTGACTAATATTGAATCAGTGGGTAAAAAAATGGAGAAAGAAAAGCAGCAGCAGCGGGAGAAACCCAGGTAACGCGCACTGAGCTAATCCGCAGGGAATGGCTTTCCTTCTAGTTGGCCGGTGTTTCCTGACTGGTTCTTGTGGTTTTCCAAGTCTGCTACCGGCCCATGCATGATGTTCATTTATCCTTCTGCTTGAGACCCTCAAAGCAATATCAATTATCAAAATTTTAGTTTTCAGTTCAATTAACTTTTGAACTGGAAGATGTGTGAGTAGTTAAGCAAACCATCTGGGTTTTACAGTGCATAAGCTCAAATCTAATTTGTGGCTTTCTTGAGAAAAATGCCATATTTTATGATAATATTACATAAGTTTGTGATTTTAATAACTCATCTACAGCAATTATAGAGCAGAGTTAAAATTTTTCCTTTTTAATTTAATAATTTCAAGTTATTCTTTTTCTAACAGAAGGTGAGGCTGACCTTACAAAGTATAGATAGTACGCAGACATTTTGAGTATTGCTTCTGCTTTCCAAAGATGTGGGGAGATGGGTCAGTTACTTTGCTAAATTATTCCAATAAATACCATCATCCCCTTCAAGATAATTTATAATTGTGTATATGATCGTTGGTCCTAAAGCTACAGATACACCCTCTTAAAGCCCTTTGGCACACTTTGTAAAAACATTTATACTTGTAGAATGTAAATGCTGCTCTGGTAAAATGTGTTTTCCCCCAGACCCTTGTTTTACATTAATTCATTATTATAACATGGTCAGAACTTTGGGGTAATTGGCACAATTATAAATAAGAGAAATCTGAGAACACATTGCCTTGGCTATACAGAATGTCATTGATGTTCCAATATTTATGGTGCAAAAATGTGTTTAACACTAGAAGATTCTTGCTCAGAAGTAACCATCCTCTTAAGTATAAGATGTTCAAGTTTGGAAGAGTGAACTATATGTAGAGCTTTCATACTGAGGCTCTGGTTTTATCCATGATAAGATATTAATTGTGAAGGAAAATAAATAATTGTTTTGAGAATTTACTTGTTTATAAAAATTTCCTTTCTGCCTTTACTTAACTTAACTCAAGGCCCAGACTGATTTAGCAGAATGGTAGCTGTTAAGAGGGTAGTTAATATAGCAATATAAGCAAATAGTTTAGAATTTCAAGTAAGATTTTAATAACTAGAAACAGTAACTAATTTGAAAACCTATGATTTTCAATGTATTTAGATAGGGCCAGTAATCCAAGGAAGAATAATAATGACTTAGGGACAAGTAGACACATATAACTTACTAATAATAAATCTGATCATGTATAATATTTTTCAATACGTCTTTCTCAAAAGGCTTGAATATTTACCAAATATTTTTCTGTAACTGGCAGAAGATAAAGGTCTCTCTACACCATTTTGTCCCATTTTTTTTTTAAATGAAAATATGTCTTGCTTAACAAGGAAGATCAACACCCCTTGAGAGCCTGGAGCACATAAAGCCTTAGTCCACCTGGACTGCCTTATCTTTATAGCTAGCTTATGGCAGTAACTTGTTTCCTACCTTAGCAGTCAGCTCCATTTTATTAATATTAGAAGGGGGGATTGATGCGGGGAATTGAGGGTGGGTGGGTCAGGGGAGAGTGGCGGTGGCTAAATGGAGACAAATATATGTTAAAAATTAAAAAAAAGAAATAAATTAAAAAGAAGTTAAATTAAAAAATATTAGAAGTGTGATGAGAACATGGACAAAAAGACAAAAAATTGTTTCAGGACATGATGGCTCAGGGTTTTAAAAATCTGTGTTTAATTAGACAAAATGTTATCATGCTGACCTTTTTATTGAGATCTGGTATACCACATAATGAAGATAAGAAAACTTAGCAATGAGGATATAAGCAACAGAAAGGAAAATAGAATCAGCAGGAAGTCAGGTGGGATTGTAACAGTGCAGAGATAGGATCTAGGATTAATTAGCATCAATTGATCAACTTTGTGTGGGACTCAAAAAGTGATCTGTTCGAGATGAATAGACTCCTATGAGAGAAGCTGTGCATAAACTGCTTACAATTCCCCTGAAGATGCTATTTTTTACTAATTTTTAATGTAACACAATATTTTTAGATAGGCTATAAAAATATTGACCCAATGAAAGAAATTTCTTTGGATCCTAAATGAAAAAATAGGATAGAATTGTATAAATGCATGATTTATTTCCTTTTCCTAAATTTGTCTCAGTTTGACTTGCAGAGGGAAAAAACAATTGAATACTTCTGCTTCCCAAATTTAAGTTCAAGGAAGTGAAGTTCTTTAATATACCTTTGAATTTTAACTTCAAAGATTAATTATCATACATTAACATACTCTTTTTATGACAATAGTGATAAATGGAAGTGCATTCTAAATGTTGATTTTTCCATCAAGGGAATTCATTTATCATTCACTCATTTATTAGAGCAGATTTTTTTAGTTGATGATATGCAGTGCATTTGGAGGTATGATAACTGCATTTCTGTAAATACCTTCTATAATTCACACAGTTGAGCCTGTACTTCTTCCCCTAGTTTTGTGATTGGTAGGCGTTTCCTATGTGTTATATGACAATTTGTATTTAGGTTATCCTGATCAGTTTAATAACACATGAAGATGGTCATTTCACCTTAATGTTTGTAAAATATTTTGCTTAAGTGGATTAATTGTGGTTTATTTCCATTAAAATCTTTCATTAACGGGGAATCATGTTTTAAAATGCAATTAATAGTTCTAATTTTGAGATTCATGTAATATTTGATCATGGATCAGATCGAGGAAAGCATAGCAAACTATGACTGATTAGTTTATCCTGACACAATTCTTGGTGGTATGCAAATAATTTCAAGAATTTCAGATGCAGTAGTGCAGACTTGCCTGAATTCTTACTAAGCATCTCATATTTTCCCTTGACAAAATGACTTTGTTACATTAGGGACACCTTGTTCTTTGGCTTTATGAATGGGCATGACCACATGAATGACAACTATACTAATGGATCTTATAAATCAGTCATTTATTTACTATCTATTGAGTGCCTACTATGTGCCTAATGTAAAAGTCTGAACAGGAGAATTATACTCTGTCCCCTCAAAGACCTTACTCTTTGATGGGCATAATGTTTTAAAATCCTAAAAATTTCTTTTATATAACATGTGAATTAGCAATTTCATTTCTAGGCATTTATAATAAGGAAATAATTGGACAGGTACATAAATATGAATACTCAAAGACTTTTATCCTTGTTCATAAATGTCAAAAATGGAAATAACCCAAATGTCCAGCAAAGGAAAATTCATAAATAAACCACCATTTTGTTAAATCTATACAATGGAAAGTTATGTAATGGGCCAAAATAACAATATACATCTGTGTACATTTACAAAGAAGGATTTTCATAATATAAAGTGCAAAAGTAAGCTAAAAAATTGTTCATTCATAAACATAGGAAAGGTAGGGAATATATCGCACATTTTAATCATGACAAATGGTGTCAATATAGTAATAATAAGAAGCTTAGTTCTTGAAGTTCTACTTACTGCCTGGATTCAAAATTGGCTCCACCTATTTCTAGCTGAGATAATCTGAACTGTGTACTACTTAACCCATAAATGTCTTAGTTTCTGCATTTATAAAATGAGTAGAATGATAGTAAATCCCCAGAGGCTTCTAATGAGGATTAAATGTGATAATACTTGGCCAATAAGAAGGATTTAAGGATTTGCAATTATCACTAAAATACTAGAGAGGTGAATTAAGGGCAATTTTAATTTTCTTCCTTTTGCTTATTTACATTTTCTAAAGTTTCTACATGGTATTTGGTTTTTGATTCTACTGACTTGGTTGAAGTTCTTCAAGTCATGATAAGAAAACATGTTACTTAAAATCTTTTGCAAAATAGAGAAAAAATAGATATGATGCATGTTCATTTTTTCTCATTTTTTAGATTTTTGTTCAGAAAGTTTATGTTACTAATTGTTATCCATGCTCAGAACCATCACAACTGGTATTATTATGTCTTCATTCAATAATGAATATTCATAGAGGGCCTACGATATGCCCTTGACTGTAGGGCACTGAGGGTGCAACACGTGTTTTCTTTGTTGACAGGAGACAAGTAGTTTTCTCTTGAAGATTAGTATCTAATCCTATAATATTAGTCTTAAAAGTTTGTATTTCCAAATAAGACCATGGAATCACTCAGAGGTCTAACTTTGTATTTTTTGAAACAGAGTGTTGGACTCCTCTGCCTTCCCTGTCAGCAGATTTGGCTTGCCCCTGCAACCCATGACCTCCCCTTTGGCGGGGCTTCTGAAAGAACATGGTGAGTCTCATTGCGTGAATATTGGTAGCGGTGATTTTCATTATTTTGCATTCATTTAAAATGCAAAGTGAAACAACTAGTACTGAGCAGTCATTTTGTTTGTATTTCATTTCAAATACTGTGTCAAAAAGAGATTTCAGAAACAACTGCTAATTTTTTTAGCTTCTCTTTTTGAACTGAGGGGTAAGATTTTTTTTTTGATGTGTATGAATTTTGGAAGTTAGGAAATCATAAGAATAAATTCTTATGATTTTAAATGTTCCTCAATCGTTGAGTTATTGATATCTTTAAAACTACCTAATTCTTCAAAAGAAAACATAGATGATTCTCTAAAGTCCCTTAAGTGTGACTGAGAAACTCTTTGGAACGTGGTGAGCTACTTGAAGACCTAGGGGGCTATTGAGTCAAAGAAACCATTTTGTACTTTTTCCTCCATTTCACTTATTACTCATGTTCTTGAGCTTCAGGCTATCATTAAGAGAAAACACTTCTTGTAGAGTGGACTTTAATTAACTTGGAAGAAATTTTTGAAAATTTGCAAAATACACTCCTCCTTGGGTTCTCAAGTCACTCTTGCATTCAGTTTCCTTGATTCAACTACAGTTTTACAGCCTTTATTTGTTTGGATGCTGGAAGAATTCCAGCATCAAGTGGAGGCTCATGAAACCCATTTTCATTAATCCGACCAGTTTTCTCCCAAACTATTAGTATTTGTGAATATAATTAGGATCTTAAACAAATACAAGTGGTTGTTTAAAAGAATTTTTTTAGTCTTGATCAGATAGTCTGAGGCCATAGAGTGGTAGAATAAGATGTGGGTCTCAACTGAGCCTAGAACTGAATACACAAGTGAAGAAGTAAATGCTGTCAACAGTTCATCATAAGGCATAGGTTCAATGAATGAAATTGTTTTAATAGATAATAATCTTGAAATCTGATAACCCTAAAAGGTGAGGTTTATAGCCCTTAACTACCTCATAAGTGAAAGTTCTACTAATTCTTTGACATTTTGAGTTTATTCAGGGTCATCCTAAGGGTTGATGGGAGTCTCTATTTACAAATACTGTCCACCTCAGGTAAATAACCTGTGTCTTTCCCTTGTGGAGGAGCTTCTCAGCTCATGAAGTATCCAGGAATTCTCATGGCTGTAGTCTGAATGTAGAAATTTATTTAAGCCTTCTTTGTTCCATATACCCAGAGCTTACTATACAGGGGTTTGACCACTGTGTAGTACTAAAGAAAAGATAGAAGACCTTCTAAAACATGTGTTGAGAGAATCCCAGTTACAAGCTACAAATCATTGTGAAATTGTGAGTGGAAGGCTGGCAGAATGGGCAGTCATCTGCATGATATATTTCGAGATTTGCAAACAGTTCTACCCATGCAAAATTCCTCTGCTGAAATATTTACTAATAGAACAATAACTGCATGGAAACTGAAGATTTATCATAGTGATAAGTAACTGGCACCTATTAAGCACTAGTAAATAATTTGTTAAATGAATGAATGAATTATTGAATGTAAAGTAAAAGGAGAAACCGCCTAAATGGAATATACTTCTCTACATATCTATGTGTCTGTTTCTGCTAAGTAGGCTAAAACATGATAACTGCTAAAAGAAAAAAGAATTTTGGAACACAACAGTAACAGTAATGAACATAAACATGCAAAAGAATAGGACCAGTCACTATTTTTTAGTTCTTATTTACTGATTATTTGTAGACTGCAGAGATACCATTAAAATAAGGAAAACGTTATACAGTTTACTTTATATGCTTTAAAACCAAATTGTTGGGAAGATTATTAGTTTTATGATATAAGTCTCTCAGTACTCACATAACTTCATGGGGAGCTGGAAGGTTGAACACAATGAAAGTATAAAAAATTACAATAAAAGTCATTATTTCCATATGCTATAGGGTAGCTATTCTTTTATTCTTTAAAATGAAATGTATTTTTAATCAAATAAGAGGGGGAATTTCATCACTGCTTTGTTGTATGTGAGGTTTTTGTTTTATTTTGTCTTGTTTTTAGCCAAAACTCTTCTTTTAAAATTAGAACTTTTTTTTGTAAGTACAGAAATATCTGAAGGCTTGTGGCCAGCAACTTATTTTATGTAAGCTATTAGTAAAATGTGAAACATGAATAACCTAGGTGTGGTCTTAGGTGAAAAGTAATGAATACTTTTTATATGCTTGTTAATTTTTTAGTTCATTTTAAGGTACAGTCTAAAAATTTGCACAACAAAGATTTTCCTCCACATCATTATTTTAACTCTGTTTAGATAAGTAAGTTATAGCTTTACTGAATGTCTGAAACCGTCACTGAGGCCTATTTAACAATAGCATGTAGCTTACATTTTAAGAGAATGTAGATCTTGTGTTTTTCTCTAAGGTGTGTGGCAATATACTAGGCTCTTAAATGAAAATTGCCCAATTCTGTTTTAGAATAAATTATTCTTACTTAAGGAAATAGGAAAGGAAATTAAAACATAGGAATTAATACAAAGTCATTGTTTCTATCCAATTTACTTATATATCATTATATATAATATATATACAAGATCTGCCCAGAAGTTTTCCAGCCATGTAATATGAAAAATAGAAACATTTATTGAAGATGAAACACAATACAAGAAACATTGTACATAGGACAAGGGATGCCTCAGTCCCCTTCAACATAGGCACCTTGGGACCTCACGCAGTTCTCCTCATTGCTGTCAGCTACGTCATCATATTTCCCCAAATCTCATCAACAATTTGAAATCTCTTCCCTTTCAAAGGTGATTTCAGTTTTGGGAAAAGCCAGAAGTCACAAGGTGCCCAATCTGGGTTATAGAGGGGCTGCGTCACCTGGGTGATTTGATGCTTTGCCAAAAACTCTGCATGAGACGCCATGCATGCGTGGGCATGTTGTTGTGATGAAGCAGCCAATCACCGGTTACCCATAGCTGTGGTCTTCTGAATTATCCAAATAGTTTCCACAGAGGAATGTTCAAGCTTAACACAAAATTTGATGCAGGTTTTGCTCAGTCATTTTGAATGTGGTGGCCACACAGTACACATGCTCACTCAATGGCATCTACTACCCTCACTGACTAGTGCAGTGAAGTCCTCATTGTTCATACACGTGCATTCCAGTCCACTCTCCTTGGCTGCCTGGTTACATCTGTGTTGCACAACAGTTCTCATTATATTAATAACGCTGGCAGACTATCACAGCACTGAACTCAGGAAGGGCAGTTTATTGTTTCTGTGTAAATACAGTCACTGTGGCTTCTGGATTCAGCTATTTTGCCCTTTTCACGGTAAACATTTTGTTCTAGACCTTGAACCTGCTTGGTTACCCTCCTATTTCAATAAATTTGGTGGGACACTCCAACTTCTATTACTCGAATGGCCCTTTCGCCAGTAATTTGAAAGTTTTCTCCCATCTTTATGGTTCTAAGGGAATAGGAGCATGGAAGATGTGCTTTAACAGATTTTTTCAAAAGTGAGTTCTGGGACAAAGGGAGATATGTCAAAGAAGCCCACATTTCTCTGCCAAAGAACCATTTGGCCTGGTACTAATCCCTTCAGTTTTCTCGGCTTTACTTTCATCATTTGTAATCCTCAAGCAAAGAATGAAACTGCCCTCCACAAAAGGGATGAAGAGGTTAGAAAATTTTCCTGTTCCTGTAGGGCTTCTTATCAGATATGAAAACCTCTCTTACGTAATCACTGACAGGAGACGAGAGGACTGGCCCCCAGACCCCGGTCCTGGCAAGATTTTCTTACCTGTTCTTACTTGCCAAGTTCACAGACTCGTTTAACTCCGTCATACATCAATCTCCACAAGACACCTAGAACTTCGAGGTCACCCCTTATCACCCAAATTCCACTCTCTATATAATTCTGTATGTCTTTTTTTCCTGACCTCATCCCTCATCCTTTCCATTCCTGAAACTCATTTACTGTTCTCCCTGCATTTATAACCAGTAACCAGCAAAAGTCCTAAATCCTTAATCTCTTCTAAGGGTTCCCCTCACCTTTTTGGTCTAACTGGAATCTGTGCTCTGTTCCCAACTCTGAGGACAGTTTCTTCCTCTGCTGCTCTCTGAAATGATGATGGTCTTTTCTTCTGCGTCCCACGTTGCTGGGACTAGAGACAAGGTTGAGGGCGGGTTACCTCCTTATTCCTTGTGTTGTTCCCAGGCCATTCTCCCATCCTTTTCCTTAAAACTCCCAGCTTTGAATCTCATGTCATCCAATGATGCCCTTCATTACCTCTCCTTAGTTATCTATAGACTTGTATCCATTCTCTTATAGCTTAAAAAATTTAGCTCCTGGGTCCTTGTAACTTTCACTAGCAGTAGTCTTGCAATAACGTTGTGATTTTGGCATCCAAATAAATAAGCTCTCTCATTCAGTGGCATCTCAATTCCCTGATCTTCTTTTTCTCCAGTGATTTTTGCCTTCCATCATACTGTATGTATTGGCTGATAGTTGTGGCCCAGAGATCTTTAAAATATTGTCAAAAATCTTTGAAGAGCACCACCTTTTAAGCAGATCACCTCTGAGCTCCAACAATTAAAAAAAAAAAAACTTCCGCTGGGAGTCTTGGATCTCCCAATGTTCATAGGAGGCTTGGTGACCCATTTTTGGATTTCTTCTCCAGCTATACTCATTCCCTCAGTAATTGTATCCATCCATTGCTTTAAATACCATTCATATCCGATGACTTCAAGTTTGTATCTCCTGCTTGATTATTCTCCTGAACTCTAGCTCACTTTCAACTGCTTAATCAGTATTTCTGCTTGGATTTTGAATAAGCACTTCAACCCTAATGTGTCCAATCAGGAACTTTTTACTTGTTGATCTCTGCTTGGAAAGCACTTCCCCCTGGATGTCACAGGCAACATTTCCAGGCTTTGTCTAAATACCTCCTTATCAGCACGGACAGGGCCTTCCTGAGTAGCCTGTCACAGTAACAACCATCCCTCCTGCTGGTGACCTCGCCGA